TCACCCTTGAATTGACTCAGATGGGGTACTATTAGGTTATTGTTTGTAACTACTGTGTTTTTTTTTTTTTTTTTTTTTATTTTCTTCCCTCTTGATTTATATTGGATGTTGTGCAACTTACTGCTATTGTACATTCGTATTGTACTATGTCTACCATGTCAAAACAATCGTATTGTGTTTCAACTGTAATGTTCTTTCATTTTCCTTCTACAATAAACATCCTGTCTTGTAAAAGAAGTCTCTATAGGAGATGCTTTAAAAATATTTACAGGTTACCAGTTTAGAGTTACAAAGAAGGTCTGGCACAAGAGCTATTGCTCTCGCTATAACTTTCGAGGCAGTACCTCATGTGTGGTGCGAATGTAGTTTTACATATGCGCGCAGGCCCATATATGTGTTCACCTTTGTGCGCAAGCATGGGGAACTGGGGGCACTTTAAAAAAAAGTTGTTTTTTTATTTTTTTACATTGTTCATTTATTTTTTTTCACTTTTATTCTATTGCAAGAAATGTAAACATCCCCTGTGATTAGTGGTGCACCGAAATGAAAATTCTGGTGCTAAAACTGAAAATTCAGGATGCACTTGACCGAAAATCAATATGGACAGTTTTTAAAACTACCCTTGAGATTAAAAAAAAAAAAAAAAAAATCTGCTTTGCCAAAAAAATAAATAAAATAAGGCGGTGTTTACATTTGCACTAACTGGAAGTGACAAAAATGCTTGTTACTTTCAGTCTCCTAGACCAACCTTCTTCAACCAGGGTGCCTTCAGGTCTTTTCAGGGGTGCCTTGGTAAAATACCTAAAAATTTCCCAAAAAATTGTATGCCAAGCCATTGCAGGGATGAAGCCTGCCTCTTAGTTACACAAAGCCGCCAGTTTTCATTGTGCACTATTACAACCTTCCAGTCACTAGCGTTCTAACAGCCACTGACATAGGTTGATGAAAAAGATGTTAAGCTCCCACACAGCATCGTTGTTTGCCCCTCTCCATCAGCATTGGGTTTACATTAGCTGAGTGAGGGAGAGAAACTGAGAGAAGAGAAACATTTGAATACTAGTCAGTACCAGTGTGCAAAGGTGTATGTGTGCATTGGAAGAATAAGTCACCTCCTAACATTGTGTGTCCTACTTGTGTGGATGTTGCTGCATTATGTAAAACTATTTTTGTTTTTTTACATTTTAGAATGGGATAACTCGAGATTGTGTACAATTTTAAAGGGTGTCTTGACTGAGAAACACTGTCCTAGACCAGTGGTGGGCAACCTTTTTTTTTCAACTGAGCCAAATCTCGCCAAAACCACGATTGAAATTTATTTTGAGAGCCACATTTTTAAAACTGAAAATACATAGGATGGTACACTGTTTTTAGTTTCAATAAGTTTTTATAGTAATTCATATAGTAATTAATCCCCCCTATAGTAATTCAATCCCCCATATAGTAATTAATCCCCCATATAGTAATTAATCCCCCATATAGTAATTAATCCCCCCTATAGTAATCATCCCCCCTATAGTAATCATCCCCCCTATAGTAATTCATCCCCCCTATAGTAATTCATCCCCCTATAGTAATTCCTTCCCCCCATAGTAATTCATCCCCCTATAGTAATTCATCCCCCATATAGTAATTCATCCCCCCATATAGTAATTCATTCCCCCCATAGTAATTCATCCCCCATATAGTAATTCATCCCCCATATAGTAATTATAGTAATCCCCCCCATATAGTAATTTATCCCCCATAGAGTAATTTATCCCCCATAGAGTAATTTATCCCCCATATTAATTCATCCCCCCATAGAGTAATTCACCCCCCATAGAGTAATTCACCCCCCATAGAGTAATTCACCCCCCATATAGTAATTCATCCCCCATAGAGTAATTCATCCCCCCATATAGTAATTCATCCCCCATATAGTAATTCATCCCTCATATAGTAGTAGTAAGTAAGTAGCAAGTAGTAAGCCAAGTCCCCCCTGTGTCAATTCACTTACCTTTGCTCCGCGCGTTCCTCTCGCCGTGTTCCCGCGCCGTTCCGGTCTTCAGGGCGGACTGAGAGGAGCCTAGCTCCTCTCACGTTCGTCACGCTGCCCCGCCTACACACATCCTGACAGCCAATCACTGGCTATCAGGATGTGAGTGGCAGCGAGACTGGCCAATCATTGCATTTGAGCGCGCTGCCCTGGCTGTTTTTTTTTTTTTTGGATCACGCTGCAGAGTCCCTGCCGCCCGAGAGGAGGGAGGGGAGCGGGCGCCCGGCACACAAGAGCCGCATTAAAGCGTGTAAAGAGCCGCATGTGGCTCGCGAGCCGCGGCTTGCCGACCACTGTCCTAGACCATAGAGGTGATTGGAGACGATCCGGTCTCCAGTCACCGCTTATCTGTCATTGGCCACTACTGCTGGAATTGGATCCTGGGCTCCCCAATGCGTCTGAAAACAAGGTACAGGCACCGTGGGTGGTGGTTGACTCTTCCCGCTGCTTCTAAAAGTGATCCAGCAGCTAATCAGCCGCTCTCATAACTCTTATGGGTTATGGTATTGCTGGCTGAGAATTTTGATGGGGGGGGCTGGGGTATGGCTGACAGCTGCAGCCATAACCTCTGGAACTCAATTGCATCCATATATGTGATTTGGTGGCAAGTGGATAGTGTTTTCTCTTAAACCATCCTTTTTGGTAAGATAAGATGGGGTCAGCAGAATTATACTGCAAACCATAAAAACAAGGTTGCTGAAAAAAAAAAAAAAAAAAACAATTTAGGAAATTCTCTGTAAAGCGTGCCTATACTTTGGCCATGCTTGGCAAAGTCACAAGTTAGATGCATAGGAGAAATTGAGTAGGCTGTACTTGCCTTCCTGTGCCACCAGTAACCTGAGGGAAGTTTCTGGTACGGGGTTCTTATGACGCTGTGTGCCTCCATAATTTTATGCTCCGTGTTTGAACGGCCAGTCGCAAGACCCAGACACCGGCACGTTGCGGGGGAGTGTACATAGCCCTGTTAATGGTTTTGGTTTTACTTTAAAGTGGTCCTAAAGGCTCAAGGTTTTTTACCTTAATGCATTTTAGCATGCCCCCTTCCAGCTCCACCTAACAGTGAGCTGTGTGTGTGTGAATGGACACGATAAGCTGCAACTCGGGAGCACGCCTGTTTAGGTGCCCCCAGAGCAAACTGCTTGCCATGGGGGCACCCAACAGGAGGAAGGGGCCAGGAGCCCCAGGGGGGCACCCTAGAAGAGGAGGATGGTGGTTGCTTTGTGCAAAAACACTGCACGGAGCAGATAAGTATGACATGCTTGTTATTTAAAAAAGACTTTATTTTTGCTTTAAAAAAAAAGTTCCTATTCTGCAAATATCTCTATTTAAATAATAAATATATGGAAATGAGTATCTTAAAAATGATTGCAAACATTATTTAAACACTGTTACACTTCTATGTAATATCATCATTAAAGGATATTTTGTGTTTTGTTCTAAATATGGATGTTTTATTTTCAAAGCGATACATTTTTACTGCGTTTTTCTAAACCTTGGATGTATCTGCAATGTAGATGTTTGGACATTGTCGGAAAAGATTAAATGTTGCCATTTAACGTGGCTCCTAACTGTCGGCTTATTTCTAGGCCCACTAAAGTAATGCCAGACTAGAGGTTTTTTTTTTCCTAATTTAATTCAGAATAGCTGCAAAACAAAATTGTCTGCTTCATCTCATTATCTATAGGAAGTGCTGTCCAACCTGTCACATTGTTTTACAAGCATGTATTAATTTGTACATTTAACCTGTTAAGAATTCTAGTGTTTTCATTTCTGCTGATATAAAAATTAGATGATCTTAACCAGTCACCCAAAATTATTTTGACAAGTAAGTGGGGGGCCTTATGTTCAGGGCATCATTATGACCAGTTAAAGTGGTTTCAAAGGCATAAGGTTTTGCTTCCCTTAATGCATCTTCTGCATTAAGGTAAAAAAACTTCCAATATCTGCTACCTCCAGCCCCGTAAACACTTACCTGGATCCTCTTTCTGCAGCAGTGCTGTTCTTCTCCCTCTTCTTGTAGGACACAGAGACAGCATTTGGAGCCATTGTCTTCTGCTTCTAGCCATTGCTTTTATCACTCAAATCCTCTGAGGATGGGGTGGGGCTGAGCTGTCATGTGTGTGTCTATGGATGCACACAGTCCAGCTCAGGAGCATTGGTCCTGCATGCACACAAATGGCAATCGTCCAACACGTGAGGTATCCCTGCAAACATCAGATTATAGGCAGTATTTCTAGCTAGCACTAGACCTCCTCTGTAAATCTTAAGTGGTAACATGTAAAGGCTTTTAAAGCGTCGCCTGTGGATAGTAAAATTTACATTGTTTGACTCGATTGCATGGACGTGCGCAATGTTTGGTATCATCTTTTATATTTTATAAAAAATTGGGTTATATATTTTTAAATTAAAATTTTTAGAAGTGTGTCTTTTCCAAAAAACGCTTTGGAAAAACCGCTGCACAGACACTGTGACATAAATTGCAAAACCCACCAATTCTCTAAGGCATCTGCTTTCAAAAAATATATAATGTTGGGAGGTCAAGTGGTAAAGAATAACATTTCTACTTGAGCTCTGTTACACAAGAGGAAGGATTTTCCCAAGCTCAGATACAGGAACATGCAGAATTGTTGGGAATTCTTCAGCCTGGCGGCCATACCGTGCAGCATAAGGGGGAAGCCAAGCATTAGCTGATAGTGGGGCTCCCATTAAAATGCATCTTGTGCTTTACAGTGCATGGGCAAAGCACAAGTTAACTTTAAACATGTACATATTATATTGTATTGTGTTATAATTCTAATTTTTTTTTTGTTTTTTTTCCAGTTTTAGGATTTTGTGGTGAATACGTGGCTGTCCATAGATCCCCCCATGTGCCATCCTGTGGTTAGGCCACCCCTTTACACAGTTTTGTGTGCCATGTCATAGAATTGCTCCCGTGCTTGTGGTTGTTGATTTTCTCACCTGCATCATGAAATTCAGAGACCAGGTGAGCACATTATCCGAGTGGTTCAAGGGCTGGAACGAATGTGAGCAGACAGTGGCTCTTCTGTCTCTGCTGAAGAGGATCACTAGGACACAGGCTCGTTTCCTGCAACTGTGTTTGGAGCACTCGCTTTCAGATTGCACCGAGATACACATCCTGGAGACGGAGGCCAACAGTGCTGGTGAGTGCAATCCTCCATTCTATATCCCCTTATTGTTTGCTTTTAGCATCTGGTGGCAAATTATCCACCACCAAGAAATAAATGACAGGACAGGTAGCAGTTCAGTAGATGAAGTAACATATTTCAACTATGTGTTATAAATTAAAGAACAACAAAAGGTTCCTGTGTGACAGCCTAAACAAGTCATAAATCTAGTTACTATGTGATGCAAAAGCCCCATAAATGTAACAAAACTTTATTTTTCCTGAGAGAGCCGAATTCTCCTTCATTTGTGTCTCACTGGTTCCCCCTCCCACACACTGCAGCGCACACACAGCTGGCAATAAAAATCTAAAATCTGCTCTACAGCATTGTAATATTGCTTCACCTCTGACAGGTTCTTGTTAAAGGAAACCCGAATTATCATCTTGGCTCACTAATTTTACATGTGGAATAATCATTGTGTTTTTTTTCTATACCAGTATAATGCATAGATCATGGTTTATTTGTATGGCTTTTGTCCATTAAAGGATAAGTTCACCTTTGGATAAATAAATGCAAATTTTTTTTGCAGGGGGAAAAAAAATGTGCATTTATTATTTTTTTTGCTAGGAGTGTGTAAAGCTTTGCTCCCAAGATTAGTAGATCGTGGGTGAAATCTCAAGGTCCTGCCAATGCCAGTGTAGCTGTCTGCTGGTACCTTATACCAGCAGACAGTTCTGAATGATAGGAAGCATCAATGAACTACCGAGCATGCTCATCGGTGCCCTGGTAGTTCATTGAGAACTACCCAAGTTGTCAGCCCCAATGGCTGACGGAAGTTGTAGTTCTGCCATTCACAGAACTCTTGTGAATGAAGGACATGGCCGAGTGAGTGGAGCCCCACAGGGACGCATTTTTTAAAAATGGTGACAGTGGGTTTGGCCCACTGTCTCAGTGGGAAATTTCGAAGGGGGGGGGGTGCCACAGTACCATCTTACATAAAAAAAAAAAATATGAACTTATCCTTTAAAAGGTCAAGATATTATACACTATGGCAGTCTCTGGTTTAGTACTTTCAAAGCCACTGCACTGCAAACAACTGGTCTGAACTCTTATTCTACATATTTGTTGTGGGTTGGTGATTAAAGTATTGAGTTGCAAGGTCAGCATAAATCTTAAATAACTTGAGGAGGCTGGCATCCACAATCTGCTTAGTTCTGAGGTTTTTTTTTTTTTAATTAATGTCTTGGATTCTGGAGCTGATATAAAGCTGGCAGGGGTTTCCCTGGTCTGGGTCCTGCTCAATAATTGTTTGCATTTGGGTTTCTCAGTGACTAATTCGTCAGACTATAAATTATGTAGCTCTTAGGGCACAACAGCTTTTTTTAGTTACATAGTTAGTCTGGCTGAAAAAATACAAAAGTCCATCCAGTTCAACCATTAAAAAAAAAAAAAAAAAGTTATAATCCTATACCCACGATTGATCCAGAGGAAGGCAAAAAAAACCCAGCAAAGCATGATCCAATTTGCCCCTGCAGGGGAAAAAATTCCTTCCTGATCCTCTGAGAGGCAATCGGATATTCCCTTTATCAACTTTACCTATAAATGTTAGTATCCAGTTATATTCTGTGTATCTAAGAAAGAATCCAGGCCTTATTTAAAGCAATCCACTGAACTGGCCAGAACCAACTCTTGAGGGAGTCTATTCCACATTTTCACAGCTCTCACTGTGAAGAAACCTTTCCGTGTTTGGAGATTAAATGTCTTTTTCTCTAGACGTAAAGAGCGCCCCCTTGTCTCTCTGATGACCTCAGGGTGAATAGCTCTACACCAAGTTCACTATATGAACCACTGATGTATTATACATGTTGATCATATCCCCCCTTAATCTGCTCTTCTCAGAGAATAAATTCAGTTCCTCTAATCTTTCCTCATAGCTGAGCTCCTCCATGCCTCTTATAAGTTTGGTTGCCCTTCTCTGTACTTTCTCCGGTTCCCCAATGTTCTTTTTATGAATTGGTGCCCAAAACTGAACTGCATATTCCAGATGAGGTCTTACTAATGATTTGTACCGGGGTAATATGATATCTCTCTCTGGAGTCTATACCTCTTTTAATACAAGAGAGGATTTTGCTCGCTTTAGAAACCGCAGCTTGGCATTGCATGCCATTATTAAGCTTGTGATCTACCAGAACTCCCAGATCCTTCTCCACCATTGATTCCCCCAGTTGTACCCCCCTAGTATGTATGATGCATGCATATTCTTAGCCCCTAAGTGCAGAACCTTACATTTATCAACATTAAACCTCATTTGCCACGTAGTTGCTCAATTAAACAGTGCATTGAGGTTGGCTTGTAAGTTGGAGACATCCTGTAAGGACGTTATTCCACTGCACAGCTTGGTGTCATCTGCAAAGACTGAAATAGTATTTTTATGCCCAGACTCTATATCATTTATAAATATATTAAAAAGTAAGGGTTCCAACACTGAATCTTGGGATACACCACTGACAAGACCATTCAGAGTTTGAATCATTAACCACTACTCTTTTGAATGTGCTCTTTTAGCCAGTTTTCTATTCATTTGCATACAGATTTTTCCAAACCCGTAGACTTTACCTTACACATTAGCCGTGTGTGGGGAACTGTGTCAAATGCTTTTGCAAAATCCAAGTATACCACGTCCACCGCCACCCCTCTGTTCAAGTATACCACGTCCACCGCCACCCCTCTGTCCAAGTATACCACGTCCACCGCCACCCCTCTGTCCAAGGTTTTGCTCACCTCATAAAAAGAAATCAGATTTGTTTGACAACTTCTGTCTTTCATGAATACATGCTGTCTGTTGCTTAAAATATTTTTTTCCAGCAAGAACTCATCTATGTGGTCTTTTATTAAACTCTCCAGTATCTTCCCAACTTTAGAAGTTAAACTAACAGGTCTATAATTACTTGGTAAAGATTTTGACCCCTTTTTAAATATTGTCATCTCATTGGCCTTACGCCAATCCAGTGGTACTATGTCAGTCATTAAAGAGTCAATAATTAGAAACCATGGTTTTGAAATGACAGAGCTCAATTCTTTAACGACCCGTGGGTGTATGCCATCTGGTCTAGGTGCTTTTCACCTTTATTCTGTCTAAATATTTCTGGATCATATCGATTGTGAGCCAATGTAGATCACCTGGAGCTGTGTCAATACCATGGCCATTATGGACAAGAGCTCCCCCATACTCCTTTGTATACACAGCTGAAGAAGGTATTTAATAAATTTGCCTTCTCTTTGTCCCCAGTCACCCACTCTAGATTATTATTATTATGTAAAGGGCCTACATGCTTGGACCGAACCTTTTTACTATTTAATATATTTGAAGAATTCTTTGGGGTTGGTCCTGCTATCTTTTGCAATCTGTCGTTCGTTTTCAATTTTTCCGGCCTTTATTTCCTTTTTTGCATATTCTTTTATATTCATTGTAATGTTTAAACGATGATAGCGTTCCTTCATTTTTATATTTAATAAAAGCTCTTATCTATAGCTTTATTAACTTTGGCCGTAAGCCACATAGGTTTGATTTTTAGCCTTTTAAACTTGTTGCCCATGGGAATATATTTTACAGTGTATTCACATACAGTCTTTTTGAAGAACTCCGATTTCTGTGTTGTGTTCATTGATGCCAATATTCCCTCCCAGTCTAAGTCTTGGAGAGAGCAGCTCTGTCTTGGAGAATTAGCTCTCTTAAAATTGAGCGTTTTTATTTTTCCCATATGTGCTTGCTGTTTACAGCTAACAATAAATGAAATCATGTTATGGTCACTGCTACCCAAATGTTTTTATATGGACATTCGTAATAAGCTCTGCATGGTTTGAGATTACCAAGTCCAGCAGAGCATCATTCCTAGTTGGGGCCTTTATGAACTGTAACGTAAAATTGTCCTGTAGTAGGTTTAAAGATTTTTGCCCGTTAACTGTTCCTGCAGTACCATTACTCCAGTCAATTTCCAGGTAGTTAAAATCCCCCGTTATTACTGTCCCAGCCCTCACAGCCCTTTCGATCTGTGCAAAGAGCTGAGTCTCCACCTCCTCATTAACAGTGGGAGGCCTATAACAAACTCCAATGACTACCTTTTGTAGTACGCACCCCCATGTGCAGTTCCACCCATAATACTTCAGCCTCATCGCACTCTCCATCAACTAGATCCTCTTTCACACTCGCTCTGAGATCACTTCTCACATAGAGACAGACACCACCACCTCTCCAATTTACTCTGTCTCTCCGAAAGAGAACATAGCCAGGAATATTAATTAAGTTAAAGGATAACTGTATAAAAAGGACAGTTTTCCTTGAACTACAGTTCTTTACATATGATGCTGGAAAACTTTTTTTAAAGATAGCCAGGAATATTAATGGCCCAGTCATGTGAAGAATGAAGTCAAGATTCCGCAATACAAATTAAATCATTGTTCTCTTCATGCACCAAAGTTTCCAACTCCCCTATTTTGCTTGGCAGACTTCTGGCATTGGTGAACAAGCACTTTAATCCATTGACACCTTGTTCACACGTATTTTGCATATTTTTTCTTTTCATACAAATGATACCAATTCCACTGGTTGGCTGAGACATGGGAACCTTCTTATCTGCCATAGCCTTCCCTCATCTGTCCCCATTCCACCCACCAATAAGTACTGACCCCTGTCTGATCTGTCTACCCCGTTATAATCTAATTCTCCCCTTCCTAAATACTCCTCCAGCCTTCCCATAAACCTCTCCCCTAGCACAGCAGACCCCCTTCCATTTAGGTGCAAAAACCATCTCTAGCATATAGGTTGCACCCCAGTGAAAAGTCAACCCAGTGCTCTAGAAACCCAAATCCTTCCCTCTTACACCAGGTCTTCAGCCACGCATTGAGTTCTCTAATCTGCTGCTGTCTTTCCTGAGTTGCGCATTGGCAAAAGTAATATTTCAGAGAATATCGCCTTGGAGGTCCTTCCCGTCAGCTTGCAGCCTAGTTCTTTAAATTGATTCTTAAGGAACCTTCCA